GATGCTGCGGGAGCCCAGGGGAAGGGGAGAGGCAGGGAAGGAGGCCTGACTCTTTTGTTTGAAGGGGACACTTCTTAGAGGAATAGAGATCTGCGATGAGCCTTGAGAGGCAGAGACCAGAGAGAAGGCATTCCAGGCAGAGGGGACAGCGGAGCGAAGGGCAGTGCTGTGAACGGGTGAGGTAGGTTATCCGGGGATGGCTGTGTGGAGGGTGAAGGGTGACGGAGTGCTGATGGATTTCCCAGCAGCAGGTGTTTTCCTGCCATGGTGGGAGGGGCTCCCATCGAAAGAGGTAGGCAACGGTGGTGTGGGGGGGTGGGATATTTTGTCTGTGTTCCACCCGCCCCCGCTGCGCTATTCCTGGACACTCCTGAGGCCGCGTGGCCTCTCACACACCCCCTGGGCACAGTATGGTTTCCCGACTCCAGGAATGGCCTCATCCAGCCAGGTGGAAATCACGGGACGACGGGAGGCATCATCAAAATTCTCTTCCGCAGCCAGTCTGCTGAACGCACCGTCTAGGTGTCTCTAGAATCCCTCCCTTCGCTACTCCTTTGCAGACCGCTCCCCCTAGTTGAGGCCTCAGCCTTTCTTGTCTAGCTCCCTGCCATCCCCGCCTCCACTCAAGGCCCCTCAGCGCATTCTCCGTGATTGAACCAGAGTGGTCCTTGCACAGACCGAGTCCGACTGGGCTCCCACCTCCCAGGATGGAGTGCAGGCTCCCCAGCACAGCCTCTGGCTCAGGTCCCCTTGGCCACACGCTCTCCCTCCTAACACCAGAGCTGCACTGGGCCAAATCGCTTTCAGTTCCCAAACACAAGACACTCTTGTAACATGCAGCTCCCCTGCCTTCCCCACTCTGGCATGACATGATGGGCTAACTCTCTCAGACACCAGCTCAGGCAAGCTTTCCTGCCTGTGGTGTCCCTGGGCCCCGGCAGTGATCACCCTGGGTGGTCTGGATGTCTGTTCTGATCTGCTCCCCACCCACCTAGGAGCTGTTCAAGGGAGGGAGGAACCAGGTTTGATATACCTTTGACCCCTGGACTCAGGGCAGGTATCAGGACAGGTTTGTTGATTGAGTAAGTAACCAACACACCCCAAGCAAGACTGTTTGGTGTGGAACGGGGGAGAGGGCACGGGACTGGGGGTGCAAGCAGGCGCAGTGCAAGCCATGCCATCAACTCCTCGGCTTGAATAAATCACTTCCTCTTCCTGGAGCCCCATCCATAAGACAGAGGGGGTCAAAAGAAGTTTAAAACACACTTCAAAAGGCAAACATACTACAGAAGTGTGAGAGAGGTGACTGTCTCCTTCAACGTCTCGGGCTGGAAGTTCCTCCAGGCATCTGACCTATATCCCTCTTGCTACAAAGAAGCTGGTTTTGATACTGTGCTGCCTCTCACAGATGCAGAGTCTTCAGGGGCCCCTGTGGGGATGGCCTGAGAGCTGCCTTCTGTCCTACCCCATCCTTAATTGGCAATATTAGAGTAATGAGTCACAGACAACAACCAATTAATTATCCCCAGTTATAAAAAGCTTTTGCTTCCCCTTCCTAGCTGTCCAGTGAGCCAGCCTTCTGCTGCCAGGCTCCTCCACTTCCTCAGTGTTGGGGGGCAGGAGAGGACGTCACTTCATCTCTCTGGTCCTCAGTTTCCTGTTTCCTTATTTGTCAAGTGTGTGTCCTGCGGGGAGGGGACAGTGTGAGCAGAGGGTTGGAGGAGATGGGAATGTGAGGGGCGGGGAGGGGCAGGAAGGAAGGAGGCCAACCTGGATGGAGAGCAGCGGGGCGGGGGCTCCTTCCCAGGCTCCCTGCACCCCTCTTCCCTCCCCAGGATCCCCGTATAGTACCGCGGGGCCAGCTCTTAACCAGGGAAGCACTGAGGGTGCCTAGCCTGGCATTCAAGCCATTCCCCAACTTGTCCCAAATGCTCCCGGTCCCTGCCCTTTTCTGTCAGGCAGCTTCCCAAGTCCTCCTCCCCGTCCTGCCTTTCTTCTCCTTTAAACACACCCAGACTTGGGGCTTCCCTGGTGGCTCAGTGGTTAAGAATCTGCCTGCCAATGCTGGGGACACGGGTTCGATACCTGGTCCGGGAAGACCTCACATGCCGCGGAGCAACTAAGCCCGTGCGCCACAACTACTGAGCCTGCGCTCTAGAGCCCGTGCCACAACTACTGAAGCCCGCACACCTAGAGCCCATGTTCCACAACAAGAGAAGCCACCGCAACGAGAAGCCCGTGCACCGCAACGAAGAGTAGCCCCGGCTCGCCGCAACGAGAGAAAGCCCGCGTGCAGCAACGAAGACCCAATGCCGCCCCCAAAATTAATTAACTAATTTAAAATAAATAAACACACCCAGACTTAAAACCCGCCTGTCTTCCCGGCAGCCTCCAACTTCCTGACGCTCTTGCTGCAAATCTATCACGGATGGGGCTTCAAGCCTTGATTTCCCCATCCATCAACAGGGCATAACAATTAAATATGCCCCAACAGGGTGTTAGAACAATCAACAGGTCAATGCCTGTAAGCCTTAAGCTCCCTGCAATACAATAGGTGCTCAATAAACGTTAACTGTTACTCTCACACTTCACTCCCAGCCTGAGGATGAGCGCTTCTGTGACTCACCACCTATGTGTCACCTCACTGCACAGAAGAGGCCCAGAGAGGTTCAGCTTCACTGAAGAACTTGACCCTAGGCTTCCCTGACTCGGGAGACACAAGAGGCTCCCCCAAGAGGTCCTGAGCGGAGGCAGTGCCTGGTGGGGGCATGGGGGGTGGGGGGGTAAGCGGATGCCCAAAGGAGGAGGGGAAGGTGGGGATGAGGAAGGCACAGGCCCAAAGCTGGGCCCGCTCCCCCTGGCCGAGGCCTCTCCCCCACCTTCCAGGCCCGAGGGGCTCTTCTTTCACTCCCCAACCTGCGCTCCCAGAGCTCACTCTGGGCCTCTATTTGTTCAGCAAAATTTACAGAGCAGCTTCTCTGCACCAGCCCTGACTTTGAGACACCAGATTGCTGCTGCTTTCACTGTGTCAGGCCAGGAGCCCAGCCCCCATCATGGTTCTGGCCCAGCTGTCTGGGGAGGGACTGGGGAGAGAAAAGAGAAGAGAGGAGAGCCAGGGAGACAAGGGTGAGCCCGCGGAGGCTGGAACCCAGGAAGTGGGAGAGGAAGCAGGAGTGGAGCTGAGTTACGGGCCGGGGTGGGCCCCCCGCTCATCCTCAGCTGCGAGGTGCGGGTTGCCTGAGGTGAGCTCAGCCCTTTCTGCAGAGGCCCTGCCACCCAGAGTTGCTGCAAGACCCTCTCCCCTCTCCCAGCCTCTCCCAGGCTTGTGGCCTGCAGCCTCCGGCCATTGCCCCATACCTGGCACCTCAGGCCTTGGCATTTGCAGAGCCTACGCCGCTTGGGCCCCCAGTCGGCTCAAAACTGGCCTCAACCCACCACTTCCTCCAGCCTGGGCCCTGGGCGGGCCACAGCCAAGACCCATCACTTCCTGACTCCACAGCCTGGAACTGGCTGGCCCTGGGCCCACCAAGAGGTGTGAGGTGCCCTGGGAGAGAGCCGCCTTCCTCCAGTGTCTCCTCCGACGGCCAAGGGCTTCCTGCTTGGGGGCTCAGCCATCCTCCTCCCCGCTTCCTCAGCCTCAGCAGCTTCCCATCCCCCCCCACCGAGAGCGCTGGGCACCGTGCAGGGCCAGATCCGAGCTCTGCCCCTCTCTAGCTGCGTTGACCTTGTCCTGGTCACGGACGTCCTTGGCTTCTGTTTCCGCATGTGAAGTGGTGGCGATGACATCTAGCTCACGGGCTTGGGAGCAACAGGGGTGGCCGCGTGTCAGCGCTCAGCTCAGCGCCCGGCACACAGACAGACACCTGGGTGCCAGTGGACTGCGAGCTCCTGCCCTCCTGACACGTGGAGGCCCTGCTGACTTCCTTCCACTGCCTCAGGGGAGAATGGAGCTCGGAGCACAGCACATAGGACGGACAGGCTGCCCTGGGCAGGCCCCTCCTCTTCCTTGCCTCAGTTGGGCATGTTGCCTCCTGTGTGCTAGAGTGGGTACACGGCAATGAATCAGGCCAGGTACCCACAGGTGGTACCTGCTTCTTACCATTTGGGGGTCATGAGAACAGGCTCCCGACTCAGTCGAGTGCTCTGTCCCTCTGTCCCTACCAGCACAGGCAGAGAGGGAGGGCAGGGAGGTGGACAAGCTTCCCCAAGCTCCACACCCAGATATACTCTGGTGATGCTTGGCCTCTGACCTCCGCCCCTGGCCACTCCAGCCTGTTCTGGGGCTGGCTGAATTGGGAGGCCGGCCTCTTTGTTCAGACAAGCAGGAGGGAGGAGAAAGTTGATTTCCAGGCAGCAATGCTTTTAGATAAACACCATGTATCTCTCTCTCCGCTCCCTCCTGAAGGAATTGGGTTCCTTCAGAGAAGAAACTAGATCCAGCGGCTGATGGTGCCCCAGGGACGGAAGTGTGGCGTGGGGTTTAGCTTGGGGAGCCGGACACTAAGGGAGGCTTTCTTTATCCAGCTGAGCACCTGCTGCCAGCTCTGGCAGGCTTGTGGCTCAGGTGACTGGGCCCTGGTGCCAGGCCATGGCCCTGCCAGCTCCCAGGCTCCAGGATGGCCTGGCCCAGCTCTTCACCCTCCTCTTGAAGAGCCACCCATCTGCTTACCTGCCCCTCAGGATCTGCCAGGAAGCTGAGAACTTCTGCTCACCTTGGGGGACCCCACCCTCTTAGAGCAGCCCTCCCTGCCCAGACCTCAAGAGCAGCCCACACCCTACACTGTCAGAGGGGAGTCAACAACTGGCTACACCCATGTTCCTTGCCCACCTAGTCAGGTAGATTCAGGAATTTCCATAGGCCCATTTTACAGAAGGAGAAACTGAAACCCAGAAAGGGCATTGGCCTGTCCAGAGCCACACAGCAGGGTGTCAGAGCTGAGACCCCTCCCCCAGGCCCTGGGGCTCACTGGGTCCTTTGGCCCCATCCCAGCACAGCTCACCGGTGTGGTGTCATCGTGAGAGCGCTGGTAGCGCTTCCAGCGGCAGCCGTAGATGCCCGTGAGGCAGGAGAGGCAGAGCTGCGGCTCATAATACTGCAGGGGCTGGTGTCTCACCATGCTCGTGCCCGCGGCCCTGGCGCCCTGCCCTCAGGCGCCCATGGAGGCCCCCCGGCTGGTCCTGGGGGAGGAAAAAAAGTACTGTGAGGCAGGGGAGGGGTGGGGACTTGGCCCCAGCACAGCAGGTGTCACTGTAGTCTAGGTCAGGGAGGGTCAGCCTCTGCTCACAGCCCTGCCGTGGGTCCTTGTCTCTCTCTCGGAGTCAGAGGCCCATCCTTCCAAGTCCCCTAGGGCAGTCCCCTGCCACCCACCCATGACCTAATCATCCAACAAAAATCCCCATACCTATTAGCAGTCACTCCCCCACTCCCACCCCCCAGCCCCAAGCAACCTAATCTACTTTCTGTCTCCATGGATTTGCCCATTCTGGACATTTCACATAAATGGAATCATATGATATATGTTCTTGTGTGTCTTGCTTTTTTCACTTTATGTTTTCAAGGTTCATCCGTGTTATAGCATGAGTCAGTACTGCATTTCTTATTATGACTGAAAATTATTTGATTGTATAGATATACCATTTTATCCACCCATCAGCTGGTAGACACTTGGGTTGTTACCACTTTTTGGTTGTTATGAATAACTCTGCTATGAACAAGTTTTTGTGTGAATGTATATTTTCATTTCTCTTGAGTACATACTTTGGGATGGGATTGCTGGGTCATACGGTAACTCTATGTTTGACTTTTTGAAGAACTGCCAAAAGCTGTTTTCCAAAGCTGTTGTACAATTTTACTTTCTCCAAGTGTTATCATTATCATCCCCATTTTACAGAGGAGAATTCTGAAGCACAGAAATGTTTAGCCATTTGTCAAGGGTCACACAGCAGAGCCTGGCAGTCTGGCTCCTTGTTCTAACCCAGGGGTTGGCAAACTATAACTCATAGCCAAATCCACCCAGCCACATATTTTGTGTGTGTGTGTGTGTACACATTTAGTTTTATTGTGGCAAAGCAACTTGTATAACTTTAAGGTTTAAAACTGAGCATCATCTTCCCTTTCCAGTGAAACAAAAATTTAAAAATAAACAGGAACAAAATTACAATAGAGGATGTCAATTGCAAATAAGATCCTACAGGTTCTGCTGCTTCTCCCGTCGAGTGGCAGGGCTCAAGTCATCATTAGGAGAGAATTTTATTTGAAAAGTGTCATCTTAAACTGCAAGGATGTCCATTAAACATCACAATTAAACATGCCAAAGGAGAAGCCATGTTGTCAAAATGCCCACTTCACCCACACAAACATCTCAAACCCACCCTTTGCTGACCTTCTATAACCTCATTTTTTAAAGTTTTTTCTTTTCTTTTTTCAAACAAGAGAAAGTAGACGGATACATGTTGGTAAATGCTAACTGTCCATATTCACATAGAGACACAGTGTAATCTCTGAGCCCAATATACAGAGAAAGGTGGAAAAAAGCTAGAATTCTATGCACTACTAGACAGGGGCCTAGCACCCTCCAGCTTCCAGAAGAGCTAAGGGAGCAGAAGGTTTTTCTTTTTTCCCCACAGAGCATGGTGGTGTTGATTCCGTAAAGTTTCTTTGAGACAGGAAGGGATAAAAATGAATTTGGAACAGAAAGGGGTAGAGATTCTTTTCCCACTGAATTCTGCTCAAGGTATTTCTCCCCAAAATAAGTTGTGAGCCATGGTATAAAGGAGAAAAGAGACCTCAAAAACAGGGCGACTGAGCACAAGAGGAGAAAAGAAGAAAAAAAAAGACTGCAACTTGCTCCCAGGGACTGGAGAAAATTTAAAAAGGAAGGTTGGAATCCATCAGTGTCCCATTAGTCATCTTCCCCCTCATCTTCCTCTCCTCCCTCCCCATCATCATCTCCATCACCTTCATCCTCATCCCCTTCCTCATCAATATCTTCTAATCCTTCTACCTCTTCATCATCATCATCATCTTCTTCTCCTTCCCCTTCCTCATCAGCCATGTCCGGAATCAAGTAGTACTGTAATGGATTTGGCCAAGTATCATCTTTTTTTTTTTTTTTTTTGGCGGTACGCGGGCCTCTCACCGTTGTGGCCTCTCCCGCTGCGGAGCACAGGCTCCGGACGCGCAGGCTCAGCGGCCGTGGCTCACGGGCCCAGCCGCTCCGCGGCACGAACCCGTGTCCCCTGCATCGGCAGGCGGACTCCCAACCACTGCACCACCAGGGAAGCCCCAAATATCATCTTTGATGACCTCTCCTAACTCATCTGCACCAGCATCAGAATGATCAGGAAACCAGCTGAAGCAGCTTTCTGGGTCCTCACGCTGTCTCTTCCTGCTGGCTTTATTCTGCGTTTGACTTGAACGTTTTGTCAGATCCTTTCCGGATTTCCTTTTGATTTCAGTGGACTCTGAAGATGGATCACCACTCTCATTCAGATGAAATTCTTTGGCGAGAACTTTATTTTCGAAGGGTTTTCATCAAAATAAAAATCTATCCTGTAACCTGATTTAATATCTTCAAATTCTGTCACTTCGACTCTTGTCAAATAATGCAGCACCCCCCCAAGAAGTACAGACACTTGTGGATGGTTAACAAATGCCGTGACCCCAAAATCTAGGATTTTGGCAATCAGTTCCGACCTCTACTGAAAAAATGGTTGGCGGAGTTTGTGATATTTCTGTTCTACTTTCAAAATCTCCTCACTGGCTTGTTCGTTAAGTCTGTGTCTGTTTCATTTTGCGCTTCATCAATATATTCAATGGCTTCTTGCTGTTCTTTTTCTTCCTTCGGCCAGTTCGGAGGAGCAGACGTTTCCTCTGGCCTGGAGGCAGGAGTCAGTCTCGGTTTCTTCGGTTTCTTTGCTTGTGTTTGGGGGCCATGTGCTGGGAGAAAAGCCAAGAATCCACCCAAGGGAAGAAGCTTGTACCAGGAGCTCTGAGAACTCCAGCCACGTGTTTCTAGACAGCCCACAAGCTAAGAATGGTTTTTACATTTTTAAAGTAGTTGGGGGGAAAACCCAAAACAAAAATATGTTTTGATCCGTGAAAATTATACGATAGTCAAATTTCAGAGTCTGTAAATAAAGGTTTATTGGACGCAGGCCCACTCACTCATTTATGTATTGTCTATGGCTGCTTTAAGTATAACTGCAGAGTTATGACAGAGACCATATGGCTCACAAAGCCTAAAATACTTACTGCCCAGCCCTTTATAGGGAAAGTCTGCTGACCCTGCAACCACGGGGCCAGCATGGCTCCTGAACCGGTATTGTAAGTGCACCATATGGTTGAGAAGGGAAAGGGTGCTGTGGGCACTTAACAGGTACAGGGAGGGTCTGGGCATGCTCCCCAGAGGCAGTGCTGAGCTGAGGCCTGCAGGATGAGCTCCCGTCTCTAACGCCCCAGAGGCCACACCATAGGGGCGCCGGGCTTCAGGCCCACCGACTACTCCCACGTGTGGGCCTTGCTCAGGGCCTCTGCCTAACACCCCCATCTCCCCCCACTCTCCAAGTGCTAACCTCAGCACAGGGCTTACAGCCTCCTGTCTGAGTGCGGAGGCACGTTAGGAGCTTGCTGGGCACACTGACCGACCAGGAGCCTCCTAATTGCTGGGAATCGTCTGGTGCAGGCTCTGTGCCCGTGGCTCCCTGCGGAGGCATGTGGACATGGTGCGGCTGCTGGGGGCTCTCGGAGCCGAGCCGAGCCCAGGGCTTGGGGGACGGTATAGGATGGCGATGCTGCTGCAGTCAGCTTAGCACCCATGGGGTTGGGGAGGCCGGGGGTGGGGTCAGCAGGCAGGGGATCCTCTCAGCTTTACTCCTCTCTAGGAGGAGTGTGTGGGGAATTCCCTGGTGGTCCAGTGGTTAGGACTTGGCGCTTTCACGGCCAACGGCCTGGGTTCGATCGCTAAGCTGGGAACTCAGATCCCACAAGCTGAACAGCGTGGCCAAAAAAAAAAAATTAAAATTAAAAAAAAAAATGGAAGGAGTGTGTGCTCACATATGTACTCCCACATTCACAGCCTTCCAGAGGAGGCGGAAGGCCAGAGTCCACAGCCAGGGACCACGGCTCACCCTGTGCACCCCCAGGTGAGGGTCTCTGCTGTCAGGGGGGCCACAACACCTGCCCCTACTTACCCCGGAAGGGAGGAAGCAGCTAGCATGTAGAAAGCGCCCTCGATTCACCCTGCCTTGGCCAATGACTCGCCCTGTAGCCAGAGCCACTCAGGGCTCTTCCCTGAGCCTTGGTTTCAGCTTTTGTCTTGACCTCCAAAAAAGGTCAGATGATTGGGGGTTGGGGGAGGGGCAGCGGTGCCAGGAGGGCACGTGGCTGCAGTGACTGAGGCACGGCAGGTGGGCATTCTGCAGGCAGGGGCCCTGCCCTCCCATTCCTCTCCCAGGACCCCCGACCCCGGGACTGATGCCCGTGTGTCCTCTGCTCCCCCACACCCCATGAATGAGCGTTACAACCACCCAGGAATGGAATTTCCATTTCAAATCTGGAAAAGAGGGAAGTAGGGCCGCCTGCGCCAGGCCTCCAGCCGGGCACTCAGCTGACTGTGGCTCTTGGACGTACTCCCCTCCCCCCACAGCCCCACCATGAATTTTCACACTATTCAGAACTACAGGGGCATCTCTGAGAGGCAAACCTCTTTCCTCTCCTCTGCATGTTCTCCTGGGGCCATCAAGATAGCCAGCGGCTCCTTGCTGTCTCCAGGGGGCTCACCCAGACCCATCATGGGCACAGTGACCTCCTCATCACCCCCAACCTGCCTCTAACATCCCTCAAGACCCTTTTCTCAGCCCACCCTTGGCCACTGCCAGGGCAGTGGCCAAGTCTCACCTCTCCCCTGGATGGGGAATCCCTGCGGTGGGCCTTGCCCTGCCAATCCAAGGTCTCACCTGCAGTCAGAGTGAGTTTTTAGCAGACAAATGACCAGGATCCGGCTCCTCTAGCCTCAGCACTCCAGAACCTGCTGTCCCTTCATCTGGCTAACACCTCCTGATCCTTCGAGTCTCCGCTCAGATGTTACCTCCTCCGGGGAGCCTCCCCTGAGCCCCAGGTTTGGTTAGAGGGCTCCCAGCATCCCTGCTTCTTCCTGGGCAGCCTGTGGGAGCACCGC